AMGWATTCCADCRRTATYTRGAATCTTAYGCCGAGAAGTTYGATCTTASTAGAMGAATACGATTCAACACWGAAGTCTTGAAGGTAGAGAAATGYAAAGATTATGAARAKACWGGTAGATGGGAGATCCATTCAAAGACGTSTGATRGCAGTGGAAAAGAGAACGTTTGTATTGAAGAGYATGACTATGTGATGGTTTGTAGTGGTCTCTTTTCCAAGCCATTTATACCTAATATAGCTGGTATTGATGACTTTACGGGTCAAATAATRCATAGCAAATTTTACAAGACTTTCATGCCATTCGTAGGAAAGCGTGTATTGGTTGTTGGACTCGGGAGCACGGCAGGTATCATTACATACATCGGGTTATTGATTAATCTTTGTATCTGCCTATTTGAAAGCACAGGTACCCARACAGTCTCATAACGACTTTTTCGTCACATGCAAATAAGTCTCACTATAATGATACTGTAATGTCACGGTATGTGACGTCACAACTCAATGAAAATTGAGACATTGAAAGKGAACCCGTTTCAATTCTAATGCWATATTATTTTTTTAAAGCTGACATTGCCTGTGAACTAAGTAGGCACGCCAATCAAGTATACCTAAGCATACGTCAGGGTACATATGTCATTCCACGCCTTGCTAGAGATGAAATACCAATGGACCTTKCAAGTCATACAAGAGCAAGTAAATTACTTCCGAAAGTGCTTCAAGATCTTCTACTTCTCMGAAAATTAAGATCGTTTTACAACCTCAATGAGCTTGGTTTACAGCCAATGTACGGAAGGACTTCAGCAATCCCAAATGATGATCTACCTACTCGCATTTTGACTGGAACAATCATTGTTAAGGGTGAAGTTTCTTGCTTTAAAGACAAAAAAGTACTTTTTAAGGATGAGACAGAGCTTGATGACATAGATGAAGTTATATTTGGTACTGGGTACGATGCACATATTCCTTTCTTAGCAAAGACTGTTTTCGACCCAGAGAAAGCGAGCTCTCAACTGTACAAAAACGTTTTTCTAGTAGATCTTCCTCACCCAAGTCTGGTTCTGATTGGTTTTTCCTTTGTTTTTGCGTCTTTCTGCCCGGTTCAAGAAATGCAGGCTCGCTGGGCTGTGCAGGTTTTCAGAGGAGATTGTAGTTTACCAAGCGAAGACGTGATGAAGAAAGATACAGCCGATCGTGAAAGTCGAAAGAGAGCAATGAAAGTGAAAGAAAACCACGGTGCAAACAGTTATTCTTACTATGTAAGTCGAGCAATACGTAGTGACTCATTGGCGGGATTATTAATTACTATTAATCTATCAGCCCGTTCAATATTAATGCTAACCTCCTCYGCGTGCAACTCTTTTTCCCTCCTTTGGGCTTCCTTTGTAACAGTCATCGTCATCTTGGCCACTAGGGACTAGTGACCAGAAAGCACGCCTTTTCTCGTCCCCATTCTCCCTCTTTTGAGACAGGAAGCCCGTGACTCCTTTGTGACCCCTGCGGAGGAGGCTATATTAAGGCCTAATTTTCCACCCGCCACTTAATCACATCTGATCTCATCTCAATTCACAGTGATTATCTTGTGGTCAATTTGCCTAGATGAGGTGCAGTTATCCGCTCCATTGMACAGTTGTACGAAACGCGATCCACTTCACTGTATTACGCTCATCTAGAAGAAGTGTTTCAGCTTTTATTGGAAAATCCGCCTTGAAAACGATCAGT